CTGTTGCTGGAGCGTGTAGCTCACTCATCAGTTCTTTAAGATTCTCTCCTCTATTCTCTGGCACCCCTTGGAAGCGCAGGACCATGTTGGCTTTATCCATTTGCACTTGCAGCATCTGATCTTCCAAAGAAACAATTTTCTTTTCCAATTTTTGCACTTTCTTCCTCACTTTCTGCGTTGTCTCAGCCATTTCCTTTCCTTTCTCCGCATCCTGCTTAATTACTTGGATCAAGTCCATTATTTGCGTTTGTTGAACAGTGATGCTTTTTGTTACAACTGCAAGCTGCTTTTGCTGCGCTGTTATATTAGCTGTTACCACCAACATCTGCTCTTTAAAGACATTGAGCTGTTCCAGTAGAGGGTGCATGACCTCAGCCATCGCCTTGGTCGTCTCACTGGTCGGTTCCGGTCTCGGGGACTCTGGTTTCATTTTTAAAAGTTTCTCTTTGTCTCTGTCCCTCTTCCCCGCCATCTTTTCCCTGTTTGTTTACTTACACAAAAACTTTTTAAAGCCTCTGAATATGCGCTTAACTGTATAGCTCGATTGGGTGAGTACTTCTGGGCAATCACACGTTTATTCTTCCACTCCCCCCTCACTTTCGCTCAGTGAGTTACGCATGGGAGGCGTCCCTCCCCCGCTCGCTTCTGCCGTTCCGTTGCGTCGGGTAGGGAGTGTCTTTTCTTGTAAAAATCTTATCTCAGTTGACTCACGTTCATAGTTGGTCTTCCGACCCCGCTACATCCATCATTTCTGACGCCCGATCTCCTACGCTTGACCCGGCTAGCTTCACTTGTACCATTCGGTCTCTCAGCTGGATGAACCACTGGAGCAAGGGGGAGCCTCGATTCTCTGGCATTCAGCCATTGGAGAGGCTACCACCTCAAAGCTCCTTGGCCAGGGACCCTTGGCCGGGCCCCTGGGGGGTTAATGAGCCTGCTCACCCCTCCCTCTGCCAGAGCACGGAGACACCCCCGGGAGGTCCGGGAGGGGAGTCTGTGAGCGTGCCGCCATCAACCGAAAGTGCTCTTGGTTTTCAACAATCTTCGAGTTATCACGGGATATACTATCAGTTCCCTCCGGCTCAGGACCTCCTCCTTCTCTCCGACTCCCCCGTCCTACATCACGACATACCGCAATTGAAACTGACGGCATGGCAGATAACATCACCGGCTTCTCCTCCCGCATAGTGAATGTCCTCTTGAATTCCATGAAGCCTACTACACTGAGGTCTTACAATTATAAATGGCGAAGGTTCTGTTCTTCCCTAGGTGATGACGCTCCTCAAGCCACCTCAGTGGGTCTCGAAAGAGTTTTCCGATTCCTCCTCTCCTTAGCTGACTCAGGACTTTCCCATTCATCGTTAAGAGTTTATTTGGCCGCTCTCTCGGCCTACCGTGTTCCAGTTGACGGATGCACTTTGTTTTCTCATCTGATTTCCAAAGAATTTTTAAAAGTTTTTTTACACCACTAACCTCCTGTCAAAACTCCAGTTGCTCCCTGGGACCTTCCTCTAGTTCTACGCCAGCTCACGAGGAAGCCCTTTGAGCTGCTTGCTACATGTGACCTCAAACTCCTTGCATAAAAAACGGCCTTTTTAATTGCTATCACATCGGCAAGGCGAGTTGGAGAAATATTGGCTTTCCGACACGATACACCTTACCTATTGTTTCTGCCAGACAGAGTCTGCCTTGTCCCGGACATCTCCTTCCTGCCGAAGGTGGTGTCAGAGTTCCACCTGCAGGCGGAGGTCTTCCTCCCTGACTTCTTTCCAAATCCAACATCAGCGCAGGACAAATTATTACACACTTTAGATGTGAAGCGGTCTCTGCTGTTCTACCTTAATAGAACACCCCTGACTAGACGAGACTCACAACTGTTCATCTCTTACGTGTCAAATTTAGCCACTTCACTGCTTACTCCCAACTCCAAATCATTAATGAACAAGTCAAAAAGCAGTGGACCAAGTACTGATCCCTGCGGTACCCCACTGCTTACCCCCCTCCACTGAGAGAACTGCCCATTTATACTCACTCTCTGTTTTCTATTAATTAGCCAGTTTTTGATCCATAAAAGGACTTGTCTAAAATTAGCCGGGGAGACTTGTCCTTTTATCCCATGATTTTTGAGCTTACTTAGGAGCCTTTGATGAGGAACTTTATCAAAAGCTTTCTGGAAGTCAAGGTAAACAACATCTATTGGGTTCTCCTTGTCCACATGTTTGTTCACCCCCTCAAAAAACAGTGACAGGTTAGTGAGACAAGATCTTCCTTTATAGAACCCATGCTGAGTCTGTCTCAATAGTTTATGTTGATCAATGTGTCTACTAATTCTCTCCTTAATAACGGTTTCCACCAACTTACCTGGTATGGACGTCAGACTGATTGGCCTGTAATTTCCCGGATCTCCTCTGGAACCCTTTTTAAAGATGGGAGTGACATTAGCTACCTTCCAGTTCTCAGAAATGGAGGCAGATTTTAATGAAAGATTACATATTTTTGTTAGGAGATCCACAAGTTCACATTTGAGTTCTTTCAGAACTCTTGGATGTATGCCATCCAGGCCTGGTGGTTGATCAGCTTTTAAGTTGTCTATCAGTCGTAGGACCTCCTCCCTCATCACCTCAATCTGACTCAGGTCTTTCAACACCCCTCTCTTTTGTTTTATGCTCACAAGAACTCTGTGAGTATATGTTAGGCTGAGAGTGTGTGCCTTTGCTCTCATTTTTGATGGATTTGGGGCTCTCTCGCTTTAAGGTAAAGGTTCCCTTGCTCGAAAGCCAGTTGGATCTGACTCTAGGGTTGCGGTGCTCGTCTCCATTTCAAAGCCGAAGAGCCAGCGCTGTCCGAAGACGTTTCTGTGGTCATGTGGCCGGCATGACTAAACCCCAAGGCGCGCGGAACGCTGTTACCTTCCCACCGAAGTGGTACCTATTTATCTACTTGCAATTTCTTGCTTTTGAACTGCTAGGTTGGCAGGAGCTGGAACTAGAGATGGGAGCTCACTCCATCATGTGGCACCCGGGCTGAACTACTGACCTTCCACAGCCTGCAGTTCAGCGTCTTAACCACTTGAGCCACCACTCCAGATGTTATTTTGGGAAGTCTTTCCTACTTTTTTTCTTGAGCTATGGTGTTAGACGAGCAGTTTGTTGTGTTATTACAGATGCTTCTATTTTTATTCCTAAATTCTGGGTTATGTATGAGATAGATTTAGGTGGGTAGCCATGTTGGTCTGAAGCAGAACAATAAAGTTTGACTTCACGAAAACTAATACCTTGAATAAAACTTAGTTGGTCTTGAAGGTGTCACTGGACTCAAAGTACACGATAGTTCAGTGATCCCTAGTGTGATGCCAACTAACCTGTCTCCTGGTACCACATCTTTTTGTTTCTTGGGTGTTTATGTCCAATTTCAAGTTTAAAAATAAAGGAATAAAGGAAATAATTATGGTCCATGACCTTCTTTCATGGTCAAGTTCACTAATTGTCTTCTTGACTGGCTTTTGCTCTGTTCTTGCCTGCAGTTCTTGTAATGTTACATTTGTGCAGATCTTCTACATGGAAAAGGGGGAGCTATGACTAAATCATGGTGTAGTATAAAAAGCTCTGAGTTATACCTGCCCCACTGAAGCAGTACCTGCTTTTCTCCACAAACTCAGCACAAACCTTTTACTGCTAACATTTTACAATAATCCTATCCCAGAATCCTTGTACTGACAGGTGGATGACTTGACTTCTATTTCTGTTTACGACTCTAAATGAAACAGGATGCTTTTTTCCTGTCTCCCAAGACCTAACTGAGAGCAGACTTTCAACACTTATGCAGTGTTCAACCTTCATATAAATGGCCGTTTTGTACTGAGAGAACAGCAATCTTGATTTTTTATAAATAGGAAAAAAATATGTATCCTTTCTTCCCTATTTTCAAAGCTTTTAAGATCCACTTTGGATAAACAAGATCTGCAGCGGGTGCGAATCGTAGCCAGCGATAACCTATGGGAACCAATTTCCTTTGTCATGCTGCTTGACTGTGAACTCCGTGAAGTGGTCGATGTCATTGGGTAGGGTGCCTCTTCAAAGCTGACACTCCCTGCCCCTGTACAACCTCTTATGATAACTTTTACTGTGCAGTGCGAGTCAGCAATTTCTGAAAAGCAGTATTGTTGAGATTAGGGATGGGCATGAACCAGCTGACGAACTTTGTAATGAATTTTGTAATGAATTTTGGGCAGTTCATGGTTTGTGAAGCAATGTTCGTGAACTGAAGAACTACCATGGACTTTCATGAATTTTGGTGCAGTTTGTGGCAGTTCACTAAGAACAGAAAACAGGGACTTAAACCCCTGCTTTCTGTTCTTCATGAAAAACAGCTCAGCTGTTTGGTTTAAATGGCTGGGAGCTATTTAGACTGCTGCTTTCGGTTCCCTGTGAAAAGCTCCCAGCCGTTTAACCCCCTGCTTTCTGTTCCCTGTGGCTTTTTGAGGGGAGGCCACTGCTCAATTGTTTGATTTAAATGGTCCCCTCCTTTCTGCTCCCGCAAAAAGCCACGGGAAACAGAAAACAGAGGTTTAAACTTTAAACGGCTCATGAACTCATATGAACTGGGTCGGTTCATGAACTGACCTCCCGGTTTGCATGGGTTTGTGGTTCAGCAACGAACCGAATCCCTAGTCCAGAATTTCAGCATAAAACAAAATTCTAGTCTTTTTCGTACCTCTATAATGATATAAATATCATAAATATTTAATTTAAAATAAATATTTAATAAGTAAAACAAATATTTAAAACTATATAAATATAATAAACTATATAAATATAAATATATGCAAAAATCAGACCCTGATAGCATCCCTTCATTTTTTTTTCTAGAAAAATGCTTCAGGAGGGGAAATTTTTTATCAGAAGAGCTCTTAGTCCTTTCTTTTCTGCTTCTGTGCTTTAAATTGCTTTCTCCTTGAGCAGCTTCCCCCCCATTCTGAACACAAACACAGGTATGGACCCTGAAGAAAGGATAAAGCTACTTGAGAGCCTGTAATTTAGAGGGGAGGAATTGTGAAGCATATCCCACTGCTTCTGCTTAGCTCAAAATTGCTACTTCTTGGAGGAGGAGGAAAGGCCCATCAGAGTTTAGGGTGTGAATGTATTTGTAGCATGTAGTTAGTACTGTAGTTCAGAGAAGTGGGAGAAGAGACAAGTCCATGTCAGCCTGGCTCTTTTGGAACAGTGAGATTTCATCTTAAGTAGGCACAGCTTGCTTAGGCCATAAATTGGATAAAATGTTCCCTTGACTGGCCTTGATCTGAAACACTTTATTAGGATTTATGACTAAAGCATGTCCTCTTTTGTCCTTAATTTGTTAATTTTTAGTCCTTTTGTTATGGTTGTGGTTTGTATTACATGGAAAAAGTACAACATTGATAGGGACCAGTTAGCTAGTTTTGACTTTCATATACTAAGTAAGGTGATGTTAAATTTTCATTATTTTAATCCTCAAAAGCAGTTTGGTTTGCAGCATGGCAGATTGCTCTTTGAGAAACCTAATTGGGTACATGGTAGTCGGCCACTCAGGGCTTTGGATTCTGGCCTTTCACAAAAGCTTGTGTAGTGGCTGATAATGATATATGACCCAGGAAGTGCCTAATACAAGTTTAATCCATATGAATTTGTTAGGTGCTCTCAAGCAAGCCACACCCTCAACCATAATCCTCATCTGCCAATAGGAAAGTGATCATTTTCGCTTGCTTTACTGGGCAGTTGTTGTAAACACTTCTGAGACAATGCACATTAAGTTCTTTGAACTCTCTAATGGGTTTTATAAATATTAAATTTGTAAATTTAAAGTAAAGTATTTTTGTTTAAAATTTGCACAGTATGAGTGGCATACATCCAGGGCCGGCCCGAGGTTGTCCTGCACTCTAGGCGAGCGCAGATGCAAACCTCCCAGCGGGGCCTGGAGACCTCTCCGCCGGTGGCGGGCGGTCCTCCTCCCCCCCCAGCTCAGGTGGCTCAGCCCAGCCCAGCCAGCTGCCAGCCGAGCCAGGGAACAGGAAGCGCCGAGGTGGCTGGCTGGCTGGTGGGTGGGCCAGGGAGGAGGACGGCCGGATGGCTGGCCGCGCCTCCCCCCCAACACCACGAGCGGCGTCAGCAGCGAGCCAGGGGGGAGGTGTGCCTTGCCTCGCTCGCTCCCAATGCCGCGCCCCGGCCTGGTCCACGCATGGGGCCACCCGCTTCCTTCCACCCGGGTGCGGCGAGCTGCCCCATCCCGACCCTGCCGGGAGGAGGGCTTCCTCCCCACCTGCACCCCCACCCTGGCTGCACCGCCGCGGCGCTGTTGCCCTCCTCCCGGTGGCCTTTCGGAAGCCCGGAGACCTCCCAGATGGCAGCCAGGCAGGCGTGGAGGAGCCCGCGCCCCTCCCCCACCTTAAAAGCCAGTCCTCAGCCTCACAAGGGAGGGATACTTTAGCCACAAGTTGTACAGGTGGGTGGGTCTGAAACTCTCGGGCTGACTCAGCCGACAAGGAGCATCGCCAGCCTTTAGAAACACGTTGACGCATGGTGTTTTGCAGGAGAGAGAGAGAGCTTTTAAAAACAGGCTCCATCCTTCTGGTCTGAAGTCTGGAGAGAGAGGTGAGCGGGGTGGTCGACTGGATCCTGGCCATTTTGCACGGCGACGCTCCAGCAGGAGCTTTCGGGCAGCAGGAGGACCAAATCCGAATTAACAGCCGGGAGCCAGGAGAGGTTTTAAGTTGCTGGGGGTGGGGTGCGCGCACCATCGGCCTGGCTTCGCCTCTTCCCCCCCCCCCAACACCACGAGCGGCGGCGGACCAGGGGGGGAGGTGTTGCAGAGGAGGCGGAGGAGCGCCTTCCGGAGCCGGCCGACCACGCCTCTCCCCCCCCCAACACCACGAGCCAGCCAAGAGCGCCTCGCCAGGCGGCAGCGCCGGGATTTCCTCCTGCTCAGGGTGCTTTGGGCCGGTGGGCCGGCAGCGGCCCAGGGAATTGGCTCCCTACCTGCCTGTCTGCCTGCCTTCCTCACCATGCTCCCCTTGGCTGGGCTGCTGCCTGCGGGCAACGAGAGGCTGCCGGCGGCCGCCCCTGCCTCTCCTCCCGCGCCCCAACGGCCGGCTCGCGCTCTAGGCAAAGGTCTAGTTCGCCTAGCGGGTGAGCTGGCCCTGCATACATCTATAAAGATAGTAGGCTCCATATTCTGTTCTACTCCATAGACCCACCACTACTTCCCCTGCTGCCCACTGCACTTTTCAGAAAGGGAGCAGTATCACTGTAAGGCAGGGCTTACTCACTGCCCTTTTTTAATCGAAAGGGTTTTCCATGGCTGCAATAGTAGCTATTGGAGGATCAGGAAGATTAGTAATCACCTGGAGTGTCTTTAGTCAACCTGTGGTTCCATTAGAGCTGACTGATGATTGCCATGAGCTTCTTTTGCAAGGCAGAGAGGGAGCTTTGTTCCAGTCTTAGGATCCAGGGAGCTTGACTGTTCCATGAAGGGAGATAATTTTTCAGGAGTAGACGCCTTCCCCTCCTCAGTGGTGGATCATGCTTCCAAACAAAGTACAGATAATACTAACTTTGGCAGACAAATGGTTGGACTCTGAACAAGATGGCTTCATATCATCAGCATGGTTGCCATGCCATGCAATTATTTTGCAAAGCAAAGAAGGAAGGCATTCTTTTTTTCACCTCCTGTGTCAGTCGTTCTGGGTTGGTGCTAACAGTTCCCTCTAAAAAGTTCAAAGGTGTCTGTAGGTTCAAAAAGGTTGGGGACCCCTGCCATAGACGGAAGTTTATGTTTTGCATCCAGATTTGCATCAAGCCGGTTTCCAAATATTTTTAAAGGATTTTTGAATCAATTGAGCATAGACTGTTCTTCATGGTTGGGAAGAGCTAATAAGAATTACTGCAACAAAACCTTCAGTTTGCTGAAAGCTTAATTTAGAATGTGTTATTCTTTTTTCTTTTTTTTTGACCGTGTGTATTTTGGATTGTATGCTTGGAGTTAAATATCCACTTCTGTGTGTATTTTTCATTTTGCTTTATCAAGGGCTCACTATCCAGGGACAATTACCATGCCTTCTGCCTTGTTAACAAAAAAGAAACTCTGGGCTTCAGAAGACTACAGCACTTTAAACAACGAAATCGGTGCAGGATGTTGGGCTCGAATCCTGAACCAAAACTACGTCAATGGCCACATGACCTCGTATGTCTTGTCATGCACGGGGATATATCCATATACAACATCAAAACTTTGAGATGCATAGTATAATAAAGGCTTGTATAATTGTCTGTAATGTGAAAATGGTATTTGTGGGTTAATATTCTAACTAATGAAATCCCTGTGTATTTGAATCCCATGTTTCTTGATGACTATTAGATTCTCCCTCCACACAGTAGAAGTATTTATACATTTCATTTTATTGAAATATTTATACTCTGCTTCTTCATTTCCCAAATGATGGCTCAAAAGCAAGGCAATGAAAGCAGAATGTATTAATCTCCTGAAATACCCGGTTGTTTTTCACAACTGTATTACTTAAGAACTTCTGAGCTACCCTTTGATTAGTATATGCATAACAGTCTGGTGTCACTTGAATAAATTGATTGTTGCTAGAACGTTTCTTTTCATGAACCCATATATTCATTCCTATGCCTTTTCAGCACTATAGCTTGGAATTTAGTGGCTAGTTACTATGAAGACTTACCCTTTGGTCGGTGTGGTTTAATGACAGCGCAAGAACCATGGAGTGGGCATTACACCGTGGATCCTCCAATATGGATCACTGGTAAATGTTTAAACAGAACTTTAAACTTATACATAATTTAATTAGGCACTTGAGAAGAGAATTTGGAGAGCAGACTTCTAAAAGTATCAAGATGAGCAATAGAAATGTCTTTAAATATAACCAGAACAGAAAACCAGCCAGAAAATCAGTTGGGCCTTTGGATTACCAAGGAATACAGAGACTGCTAAAGGAAGATGGGGAGATGCAAAGAATTCATTTAGCTTCTCTCCCATCTGTATTTACTGTGTTGGCCATGTACCCACATCACAGCCACTATTTTTAGAAAGGGAGTCTGAGAAACTGAGTCAAATTGAGGTGATGAGAGATTAAGTTCTAGACCTATTGGGGAAATTAAGAACCAGTATGTCTCCAGATCCTGGTGGCACACACCCAAGATTTCTTAGGGAACTGAAATGTGAGCTTGTTGATCTACTAACCTGTATATGCAATTTATCACTAAAATCAGCCACTGTACCAGAAGACTGGATTTTTTAAAAAGGATATTGAAGGGAACCAGGAAATTACTGGCCAGTTAGACTGATTTCTGTCCGAGGCAAATTAGTATAAACTGTAATCAAAGATAGACTTATTAGACACAGAGAAACAAAGCCTGTTGAAAGAAAATCAGCATAGCTTCTGCAGAGGGAAGTCTTGCCTCATCAACCTGAGTAGCCAGGTACAATGCTAAAGTTGAAGAATGCAGCACATGACTTGTTTGGTGATCTCAAGCATAACTGGTTTGCTGACTTTTCTCTACCTTTTGGTCATGTTTCTTGCTTATCTCGGTAGTATGTCAGGCTCACAGCAGGAAAAGGAACTTAGCTGGAGGGAGGGGATTAAAAGTCACCATGGAGCCTCCTTCTCTTCTTCGCTGGTTTCCTCTGGCATGTCAATTGCTAACCCTTTATGGGATGTCTCCAGGCTGGATGTGCTTCCTGACCCCTTCTGTTGTCTTATGAGAATACCAATCCTGTGAGACTGTAGGAAGGTGCTTCCTGCTTTACCCAAGCTTGTGGCAGTGCAGGAACATGTGGTTGCACCTCTGTCCATGAACTGGGTAGCTGGTCATTCTTCCCAAACATTTTACTTGGCTGGAAGTTGTTAGTTCTTGTACATGGTAGAATGTTAAATTTATTTTTGGTTATTAACTTTGGAAGGAGTTATTCTGTAGTGTACATGATAAGGCTGTTCTTCTATTCCTGTAATGTGTGTAGCCTTCTGATACTTCTTTTCTTACTATATGATTTTTTTTATTGTAAGATCATCAGCTTTAAGACAATGGGATAATATTCTTTTTCTGTGACAGCACACACAACCCAATTTACCCAACCAGGCTGGCATTACCTGAATGCAAGTGGCCGTTTAGACGGAGGTGGCAGCTACGTCGCACTGACTGATGGGAAAGGCAACCTTACAATCATCATTGAAACAATGGTACTGCTCTCAGTTCTGTGCCTGTTAAGATGTGCCCAATTCTTAAAGCTAAAAATCACTTCTAACTATGTGCATACAATACCATTCATCAGCACTTGGAAACAAATGTGTCTGGGTAATTAAAGTTATATGACTCCATTCACTTTGTGAGGGTGATACCTAAAAGTGCCTATTTTTAAACCTGGTTTAGCATAGCAGCTGACAGGCTGGCCTGTGACTCAGAAGTTCCTTGTTTTCATTTCTGCTGTGAATTCACAAGGGGGCGCTTTGGACAGTCTGCTGTCAGTCTCAGCATTTCATGTCATCTGCAATATGGGAATAATTCTACTGACCTACTTTCCAGTGCTTTCTAAGGATTAGTGTTCTTAAATCATCAGAGATGGTATGTTAAGATAGCGGTGATTTTAATAGTGTCTTTTCTGTAATCACTACTGATTCACTGTTGTGTTCTTCAGTCATCTTAATTATTTGAGATTATGCAGTGAGGTCTTCTAACCTAGTGAATACTCCGGACTTTATGCTAAAGTCAGTATCGCCAAGCTAAGATACACAAAGAGTGTGTTTATGGCTTGTTGTTTATGGCTTGTAGCTTCAGTGTCCTCTACTTATTTTAAATATCTGCTTCCTAACTAGCTCAGATAATCATGTATTTCAATCTGCTTTGTTTTGTTTACTGTGTACCACTTTGAAAGCATTTTCAAGGTATCAAGTGGTATAAACTTGCTGACATTAAGTAGCAGTTACGAACACTGTGTTTCTATTGGCTAGTTAATGTTTTTAACAGAAAAAGCTCTTGAGCATTAGTTGCATATAAATTGTGTTGAATTCTGTATACTTTTACCCCTAGACTCATAAGCATTCCGCTTGTATCAGACCACCTCTGCTTCCGTACAGTGTGTCACCCCAGAAAGCAACTTTCTATCTCAATGGATCCTTTGTAAGTATACACTGTTGTTATCTGCATACTGTTGTTAGTGTGTACTATGTACAAAGTAGGAAAAGTGATCAAAACATGATCCCAGTTTAGCCACTTGTTGGCTGTGTGCTGTTGAGGCTGTTGGAACATAATCTTCCTGATTTTCACCAGTGTATGCATTGGCTCTGGAAGTGTTGGTGCTTTCCTGTAACTAATTGTGTACTCATTACTGTGTTCTATCAGATGCCTGAAATTAATCAAATTATTAGTCAAACTTATATACTGGCTCAGTTTGTTAATGACCAAAAGTTGCCCATTGACTGAATGGGCTGAAACAATCTTGACTTGTGCTGTGGCGGTGTGTCTGAGAGAATCAGAACCTGGTCTGTACTGGCATTAATGAAGTATACCAAGAACTGAATTGGGTTGGATGGACGAACTTATTTTCTCATGCAGCTTTTCTCTTCACACTGAGAACAGTTTTTGAGGGAGTTATCTGAACATTGTTTTTATCGTGTTAATAGACTTTTGGGGTTTTTTTGCCCTGTTGTGGTGTTAGTTGCCTTTAGTGTGAGGAGATAAGGCATGATATATGTATTTTTAATAAACTGATTTCGAAACTGAAAGTTCAACATTTTTCCCCTCAAGAAAAAAAATAGCATATTTTAAGGAGGGCCTAATGAAAATTTTATTTTTACCCCGTCAGAGCCACCTAGAAGCTCTTCAGATGTGGTATTCTAAGCTTGAATTTAAATCAGCAAATTCCACATTGTTCCAGTCACTTGGACCCAAAAAAGTAAGTGCTATGGGTGGCTGTATTAGGCCAGTGTTGAGTTACACTGCATGCTTTACATTAAAATGCATACACAGGTAATGAGCATTTTGGTTTCCTGGGTGGAGAGAGAAAGCAATTCTATTAATTCGTGTATGTGTCTGAGTTGTATAATTGAGAGGAGAGTAACTTCTTTGTGCTTCTAGTAAAGACTCTAAATAGGACATCAGAATGCAAATCACACTTGCTCTCTCTCTCCCCCCCCCATTTCTCTGTATTATTTGAAATTGCCCTCGGAGATTGTGTAGTTAGGTGGCACCCCTTCGTAACAGGTGTTGGCAGAGTTTAAATATGAAAAGGAGCAGAGCACCAACTGTTTAAGGAAAATAACTTGGTTTATTAAAGAAGAATAAACTCTGATAGAGTAGAGGAAAGGAGAGGGAGAGTGGCTTAACTAACAGCTGTGAGACAGGAACGAAGGGGGAGGGCTCAGTTGGAGCAGGAAGTCTCCAAAGAGCCAATCAGGAGACAGAAAGGACAAAATTTGAAATTGGGGGAAGTCCCTAATCTCGCTATGCTAACTAGCAGTCCTTCAGCTGTCCCCTGTGGGCTGTTCTTCTGCTCTGCCTCAAGTAGGTGCACTATAGACATTGTATATTCCAACAGAAATATCACAGGGGGAAACACAAATACAGGGAAAACCAACCTGCCTGTTGTGACTGAATTTAAGAAAAACAGGTAAAGGTAAAAGAAGTGTACTGGGCAAAGACTTAAGTTGTCAACAGCATACCTAGATATATGAAATCCCATTTTTTGTGTGTCCCCCCCATATGGATGTTTTTTCAGTGGAAAAATCAGGAAGTTGGAAGAACACTGAAAAAATTTGCATAAAATATATTTTTCTTTTGAAATGAATGACATGTGCAGCTCTTTTAGTATTTGGGTATATTTGCAGTCCTACTCATGGAGAACTAAGGCATTTATATATTTAAATTCCATAGATTATTTTTAAAACTTTGTGCCACTTCTTCAGAGACCTGCTTGAGGTGGCTCACAGAGTAAAACCAATCACCTTGAAATGATCAATAGCAAAGACAAGCCATTTAAAAACAATCTTATGTACCCTGAAGTGATCTCTGTAAAGCAGCTCTGAGGCCAGAAGTGGACCATAAAACCAGTTCAAAAAGATGGAACCTTTCAGTTAACTATCTGGAGTTGGCATGGTGCCTGAAGGACAGTAAAGCAGGTGCTGGGCAAGCCTCAAGTGGGAAGGCGTTTCAAAGACAAGTGGATGCTTTGTAAAAAAAGTAAAAAGCCCTGCCTCTCTTTGCCATTTGTCTCACCTCCGTAGGCAGGAGCACAGAGAGCCGGGCTTGGGAAGAATCGCATAGAAAGCAAGGGTGTGGATTTAATAGACTAGTTTACAATGTTATATTCTAACTCAAAGTAATCCTAAACACTTGCACCATTTTTATGCCCATTGACTTCAGTGAGCTTAGAAGGGTGTAACTCTGTTTAGGATTGCACTGTTTGGTGAATAATGCAATTTTATGTTAAAGCAGCAAATTGGGTTTGGGTCTGGTAGGAAAGTAAGTATTGGGTGGAATCCAGCCAGCTTTTTCACTCAGTCTTACTCACTTCTTACCACAGCCCTCATTCCTCATGGCTTTTGTACACGCAAGTCCTGTGATCCCCAGCATGGCTTTTTTGGGTGATCAAAGGGGATCCCTTTTTTTCTACTTGAGGAAAAGCTAGTTGGATGCAACTCATTGCATATATTAAAATTGTCTCAGATTTCGGGTTTTCTTCTTTTAAAAATGGCTTCAGATTTTTAGAAATTTTACTTCTTCAGCATTACATGACCTTTCATAGTCTTATAAATGATCTGAGACCTCAGCATTTTATGTGCTGCTAAGCTAAGCGGTGGCTCAAGTGGTTAAGACGCTGAACTGCAGGCTGTGGAAGGTCAGTAGTTCAGCAGTTCGAGACCCGAGTTGCCGCATGACGGAGTGAGCTCCTGTCTCTAGTTCCAGCTCCTGCCAACCTAGCAGTTCGAAAGCAAGAAATTGCAAGTAGATAAATAGGTATCACTTCGATGGGAAGGTAACAGCGTTCCGTGCGCCTTGGTGTTTAGTTATGCCGGCCACATGACCACGGAAACATCTTCGGACAGCGCTGGCTCTTTGGCTTTGAAACGGAGATGAGCACCGCAACCCTAGAGTCGGACTCGAATGGCTTTTGAGCGAGGGAACCTTTACCTTTTTTTAAGCTACAACTGACTAGTGTCTTGTGTCAAAAATGTAATGCTTTTTTAAGTATGCATGTTAACCTGATACAGCTTATCTATAATGTTTTGTTTGGAGGCATGTGTAAATCCACTAGAATGTTGTAGCAGGCCTCCTCTGCTGCTTTGCCGGTCCTAGGTGTGTCTCCAAGGTGAAATATTTCTCTGTGTTTGCTGTCTCTGGTAACACACTTGCTTATCCTCTTTCCACACAGGTCTGTGAAGGGGTGTTGACAGTAAATTTGGATCTGGATGAAGTCTATACCCTGACAACACTGAAAACAGGCCGCAAAAGCCCTTTCCCTGATCCTCCTCCTTCCCAGCCCTTTCCCTCAACTTACAAGGATGACTTCGATGTCCGTAAGTTAGCACTTGAATTCCCTGGTGGAAAACTGGAGTCAAAAGTACAGTCTGGTGGTCTTGGTCTGTAGCATTCTTCAGCTGTACATTCAGAACAGTTGCGAACTTGGATCTCTGTTAGATCTTCTTTGTGGTCTCTGTGCATCACACCTATGGGATTATGCGCCTGCGCTGATCCGAATCGATGGTATGCAAAGCTCACAAAGGGATTTTCACGCCTCCCTCCCAGGCATGCGCGGGAACCCCACTGCACATGCCCAAGGAGGAGGGTGCGGACATCCCACCAGTTCTCTTCTGACCACAACGCTGTTAACAGCTTGTTTTCTGCCGGTCAGTGAAGAAGCGTTATTTTCATCTCACGAGGAAACAGGCAGGGTGGAACGGTCTCCCACAGTCTCTGCCTCCTGACTCTAGACCTTTGGGCCTGATGCATACTGCTGCACATCTTTCCCGTTGCCTCACACATTACTGGCAAGGCCAATGTGCATGCGGACTTGCTCAGCAGGGGTCTCTGTCAGCGTCACGACTGGGAACTGGACCTACCTACGTCCCGTGTTTCAAAAGTGGGGTACGCCTCACGTCGACTTCTTCGCCACCAGGTGCAATTTGAAGTGCAACCTGTTTTGCTGCAGGGGAGCACAAGATCCCAAGGCCTTGGGAGATGGGCTCTTTTATCCATGGGACAACAACTTCCTGTATATGTTCCCCCCTCTGCCGCTGCTGCTGAGGACGGTCCAAAGACTGATGAGGGTCCACACGAGGTGCATCCTAATTGCCCCCTAGTGGCTGAGGCAACCTTGGTTCGCCAACCTCCTCTCGCTGACCAAGTCTCGCCATCCTCTCCCACAGGTGCCAGATCTGCTCCTAGCGGAGGGAGGAGCTCTGCTGTTCTTAAGAGGTACACAAGCTCAAGCTAACAGCTTATCTCGTGGACAGTTAACGTTCTCGGATAGAATCACCACTCTGCTACTCAGTGCCAGGAAGGATTCTACGAGACGTTCCTACAGGGGAAAGTGGGCTCGTTTCTTAGCTTCTGTATAGCCCTTGGACGTGCCCCGGCTTCTGTCAGGATTGACCAGGTCTTAGAATTTCTGCTTTCGCTGGCAGAAAAGGGCCTCTCACACTCTTCAATCAGGGTGTATTTGTCGACTATTTCTGCCTACCATCCGGGCTTTGATGGTTTCTCGGTTTTTTCTCACCCTGTCTCAAAGAGATTTCTTAAAAGTCTCCTCCACCTATATCCACTGATCCGTTCACCGGTACCCTTGTGGGACTTGCCGATGGTACTACGCCATCTGATGGGCCGGCCCTTTGAGCCTATGGCAACTTGCAAGCTAAAACATGCAGCATGGAAAACTGCCTTTCTCGTTGCCATTACCTCGGCCAGGAGGGTGGGCGAACTCGTGGCCCTCCGTCATGACCCACCCTTTCTTACTTTCCTACCGGACAGTGTGAGATTGGTGCCCGACTTCATGTTCCTGCCTAAAGTGTTCTCCGAGTTCCACCTCAGCTCAGAGATCTTTTTGCCAAACTTCTTTCCTAGCCTGAAAGATGGCCAACAGCGTCTCCTCCATGCACTAGATGTTAGGAGGGTGCTACTTTTTTACCTGGACAGGACACGTTCAAGTAGGAGGGACAATCACCTTTTTGTCTCCTACTGCAGTCACTCCACAGGACAAAAAAATCTCGGCACAATGTCTCTCCAAATGGATTGTGGAGACTATTAAGCTGTGCTACCAGTTGGCTAAACGCCCGTTGCCTTTGCCTATGCGAGCGCACTCCACAAGATCCATGGCGACATCTACAGCCTTCTTGAAGGGTGCTTCCCTGTCGGCGATCTGTGGGGCTGCGACATGGTCTACTCCGAACACTTTAATCAAGCACTACGCTGTTGATGTTCGTGAACGCCACAGAGTGGACCTTGGTCGCTTAGTCCTTTCATCGGCAGAACATTGAATTTGCGACAGCTCTCACCTCCAGGTGAGCCACTGCTTTTCAATCTCCCATAGGTGTGATGCACAGAGACCACGAAGAAGATAAACAGGTTGGTTACCTGTAACTGATGATCTTCGAGTGGTCATCTGTGCAGTCACACCACCCGCCTGTCCTTCCCCACTGCTGTCGCTTCAGTACTTTTCTCTGGTTATTGACATGACAGCGGTCAGAAGGAACTGGTGGGATGTCCACGCCCTCCTCCTTGGGCATGCGCAGTGGGGTTCCCACGCATGCCTGGGAGGGAGGCATGAAAATCCCTTTGTGAGCTTTGCATACCACCAATTTGGATCAGCGCCGGCGAATAATCCCATAGGTGTGACTGCACAGATGACCACTCGAAGATCATCAGTTACAGGTAAGCAACCTGCTTTTAATCTGTACCTAATGGCAAGCCCTTTCTGGTCTATTGAGCTTTCTGGTCTATTGAGCTGTTGGCATTTTGCTCTGGAAAAGTCTTTTCTGGCCAAGTAAGGCTGCAAAAAGACATACATTTTGATATATTTATCCACTTCAGTCCCTGTACTCACTTGAAAGGTATGAATGAGGATACCCAATGAGTTTCAGCTGATGTTTCCCTGGGGCCTTTCTGAGACCCTTCTAGATTAATGTAACACCCAGTTAAGACAGCCCATTTAAAAATGGCAGAACACCAGTTCCTCAGTAGGTAGAGCGATAGCCTGCTGTCTTTGGGAAGAAGTGGTCTTGACAAGTTTCTCCTAAGCATGTGTGGATATGAGGGAATGAAATAATGACCGTCTTACAGGGATCATTTTAGGCTGTTAAATGTTTCATTCTGTTTCTAATCTCTGATTTGTATTTTTCGTGATTTGTATGGTGGTTTATGATTTTATCATATTTCACTTTGCGAGCGGCCTTGAACATTTTCTTCGGAGAGGTGACACATGCCTTTTTTAGTTAAATAAATTTTTTGTTCTCCAAATAGGCAACCCACCTTTCAGTGAGGCACCATACTTTGCTGATCAGACTGGGGTCTTCGAGTATTTTGTAAACACTTCGGATCCAGGGGAGCACGTCTTTACTCTCCGGCAGGTGGTCAATCAGAGACCTGTGACGTGGGTTTCTGATGCAGAGAACACCATCAGCATAATAGGGAACTATAAATGGTACGTAACACCATGCATTTCTGAACTGGAGCAGTGGTGCGAATTCAACCAAATAAGTAATTAACTGTCTTGAACTGTTACGAAGGAGTGGGCTATGTGTGCTTAGCAGAGAAACAATACCGAATGCCACAGAATCTTGTATAAGCTTGATGCAATTTTCAACATACCTGTTTATGCAGTTTGCTGGTGAACAGCAGGTTCTTTTGAAACCTTTTTATGCTCAGGTAACCTAGTAGGCCATAAAAGTTATTTAATGTGATCACTTACTGCCACCTGCTGTCTGCTCTGTAGCATTGCTTTGAAAGCTGATGAAACATGCTGTTAAAGAACTTCATGAGCAGAAGTGATTTCTAGCTAATGCAGCCTCACAAGTAAGTGTGCTGTTTCTGCATACCATGTCATATAACTAATTTCCTCTCTTCCTTCCCTATTTTTGGCCGCTGTTGCCTGCCCTGCACCATAGCTTTGGTGCTTTGAAGCTATGCCAAGCCAGGAAAGAGAGTCACACACATAACTGTCATCAGCTGGAAACAGCAGTGGTGGGTCACCTCCTCTGCCAGATCTAGCTTAGTAGGCTGGGCCATATGGCTGGAATAGTGTGTTGGGGGAAGGAGTGAGAGATTCTTCATGCTATGCAGGGTTGCTTTCTTGGGCGTCTGTTTCAGGTAGGTGGTGAGCTGCCCTTCTGTGGTTCTCAGGGGCACTGTTACTTCTGTTTGTTACTTCTCTGCTTGCTGCTTGTTTTTCGTACTGTTCTCGCTGCCATGCTCTCTGTTGTGCAGTGGGCTCTTGCAGTTACCTTGTGGTAACTTGCAGTCTTCTGAGTGGGTTCAGTGTCCATCTGACAAGTTACAGGCTGTGGCTGGATGGTTACGACAGAGCCGACGGAAGTTAAATCCATCCAAGACGGAGGTCCTGCGCCTGAGACCCAGGGGACTGAGCCAGGGAATCAGATGGCCAACTTTCGATGAGGCTCCATTGGTGCCAGTGTCGAGGGTGAAGAGTCTGGGGGTGTTCCTGGATGTGTCCCTTTCTATGGAGGCCCAGGTCACCGCTGCTGCCAGATCTGCCTTTTTCCATCTGAGGCAGATCAGGCAGCTGGCCCCTTATTTCACCTTCAGTTTGGTGTAGTGGTTAAGTGCGTGGACTCTGATCTGGGAAAACCAGGTTTGGTTCCCCACTCCTCCACTTGCAACTGCAGGATGACCTTGGGCAAGCCATAGTTCTGTCAGAGTTTTTCTCTCAAGGACAGTTCTGGAAAGAGCTCTCTCAGCCCCACCTGCCTCACAGGCTGTCTTTTGTGGGGGGGGGGGGAAGGGAAAGGAGTTTGTAAGCCACTCTGAGACTCCGAGTGAAGGGTGGGGTATAAATCCAAATCTCTTTTTTCCCCCTTCTTCCCACGATCTGGCTACAGTGACCCATGCAATGGTCACTTCCAGGCTGGATTGTTGTAACTCTTTCTAGGTGGGGCTACCTTGACTCATCTCCGGAAGTTGCAGCTAGTGCAGAACATGGCAGCACGGGTGGTTATGGCGATGCCTGTGCAGGCTTGCATCCACCCAGTGCTGCGCAAACTGCACTGGCTGCTTAGTGAATACCAGATCCGTTTCAAGGTGCTGGTGCTTACCTTTAAAGCCCTATATGGTCAGGGACCAGCATACCTTCGGGACCGCCTCTCCCCATCTGAGCCCTGAGGTCTACCAACAAACATCTACTGCCCCTACTTGGTGGAATGAGTTCCCATGAGAGATCAGGGCCCTGCGGGATTTATTACAATTCCGCAGGGCCTCTAAGATGGAGCTCTTCCACCAGGCTTTTGACTGAGGCAGTGGAAACCCCCCCGCCCCCAGTTGATCTTCTGTTGGTGGCCTGGATCTGAATAGCTATACAAGAACCAACTGCTGCTGAGACATCTGGCTAAACTATACATGGCACTTTATGAGTTATGTTTTATATTGTTTTAAACTGTTTTTAAATTGTATTGTGTACTGTATTGAGACTGGTGGAACCCGCCCTGAGTCTGCTTGCGGGGAGGGTGGGATACAAGACCAATAAAATAAAATAAATAAATAAATACAAGTCTGATTGTCAAAGGAGTTGTTTGGGGGGCGGGAGAGAGAGCTCAGTGTATGCTGGATCCATCCATAGAATTGGCTCCTAAATGAGTTTGTCTTAGAAGTGGTAGTTGGTTGGATGCAGCTTTTATGAAGATGATTTATTTCCTTATGCCTTGTAATGCTGCAGTAATGAAGCTGAAAGCTCATTTAATTTGTCTCTCCCATGTGTTGTTTAGAGTTGGATTATATTGGTATACATGATACATAGAAATCATACATTTGCAACGATTGTTACCATCATAAGCCAGTCCTATTTTTAGATTGATATTTGGTCTGTTAGGAATGTATGGTAAACTTATCTCAGTTGCTTCCTAAGTATTCATCATAAAGTTAAGTACATGGGCAATGAATGGACTTTACCTCTTGACAAGCATGAAAGATACCTGTACAGTATTTTGCCTTTTCTGCAATGCATGTCTTTCAGTTAATAATCACTCTTGACTGAATATCTTCATTGTGTTTTTTGTTAGATCAAGGTGGGTTAGCCATGTTAGTTTGCCTGTAGCAGTAGAAAAGAGCAAGACCTTAAAGAACCTTAAAGACTAACAAAATTTGTGACAGGGTCTGAGCTTTTGTGAGTCACTGTGAAATGGACACACTTGTTAGTATTAGTATGTGAATTGGACAAATACTTATTAGTCCTGTTTTCTATTCTGGAAGTGATAGTCAATGAAGTGTCTGGGGTATAGCATGTCATGGACTTTTACTTAAAGCTTGAGATATTTTACACTATGTAGGTTTTTATAGTTGACAGTGTAAAGATTTAGCTGGATCAGTTAGCCAAGGAGATTTACATTCAAACGTTTTTTAGAACATGAATTTAAGAACTGTGACATCTTGCCTTATTTAACGGTGTTGAAAATGACATTGCTTTTGCAGGATGAACCTAACGCTCAGTTGCGATGTTTACATAGAATCAAATCGAGGAGGTGCATTTATTGCAGGAAGAGTGGACAAAGGTGGGATATACGTTGGAGATGCCAAGGGGGTTTTCTTCTGGGTGCTTCCAGATGGCACTTACCGAGTCACAGGTGATCTCTGTGAGTATTTAATTTTTGATATTCATGCACCTGTCACAGAGCTGCAGTTGGTGGCTATTAATTCTTGCACTGCAGTCTGGTATACAGTAAGGATTGTGTTAATTCAGTTTCAAGTTAAGATGTATTTGGTGCTTGCTTCCATAGTAGTTTTTACTACTAATCAGAACTAAATGTATCAGCCAAAAATTCATTTGAATTGATTCGCAATTTAAGAGAGTGTTAAAAGATTGCTAATTGCTATTAAAAGTCTGGGTCACCTTGGTCAACAGAGCTTGCTGTTAGCCGCTCTGAGACTCCTTAGAGTAGTGAAGAGTGGGATATAAAAACCAACTCTTTTTCTCATTCTGTGTATAGCCAAGTCTGTTTTGATTGCAGTGTGATACAAACATGCCAAATATTGCTGAGTTTGAGATCTTGAAAAGATAATCTCAAATGCTGATGCCTGGGATTCATTCCTTGGTAACCTTGACAGTGGTTACAAATACCCAGGTCATGACTAAAGGTTTATACTGTCTCTGTGCAGTTTGTTTGCTTTTATTTATTAACTTGAAAATATCCTAAAGTGTAATTTGTTTACAGATGGCAAAGAGGTCTTGATGAAAGGACTGTCTGGTGTGCGGGCTGAAGCTTGGCATAGACTTACACTAATTCTCACGGTGAGCCCCGATAAAATCAAGTTAATGTTGACAAAAGAGAGACAAACTCTTCAGGATTCAGAAATAGTTATAATAATCAAGAAGTCCTTGTGAGAAGCGTTTTTCTTTGACAGATGGAAAACCTGACTCAGAGTGGGTAACATAAGATGACTAATCCTGAAGTCATGTAGTGTCTGTGTCTGCCTGAAGACCAGGAGGTTATTCCACTGCTTAGAAGTAGCAGCTGGGCTAAGCGATGCCTAAGGCCCCACTTGCTCTAAATAACATTGTGGGTACTTTTCTTTGTATTCTCATATCTAAAATGGAAGGAGGAACATCGATTGATATAGTGCAGGGAAGTTGCATGGGTACTGAGGCACAGCTGCTTCGCAAAGTGGCTTTTCCTCGCATGCCTCACACTGAGCATCCTGAATCTTTGTGTGAAGTAAGTGAATGAGAGAGGATAGCAGTGCTTAATTATTTGGATGACCTTGGGTTGGTTCCTGTCTCTTGGCCTGACTTACATTCAGGGTTGTGAGGATAAAATTGGGGAGACCTACCTGTGGATGCTGTCCTGAGCTGCTTAGAGGAGACATTTGGGGCTGCCTTTGGCACTGAATTTGGTGGTGGTTTGGGATGAGGTTCTAAATCCACATGATGCTGGGACGATAACAAAAGTAGGGTTTGTAGGGGATTCTTAACAAAGGCCCTGGTCACACGGGCCGGATATCACGGGGGGGAGGCGTGGCTAATTGCCCCGGAGGAAACTAACGCGCGGCCGCCCGAGCACATGTCCCGGTCGAGGTCCCGTGGTTAGGGGGGAGATGCCGACCAGACGGGTATCCTGCAGCGCAGCACAGAAGCCGCGCCGCGCGATCGCACTAGCAATTGCTCTTTGTGCGCATGCACTGTTGGGCGCTGTTGTGCAACTTGCGGAGACGGGCGCCGGATGCCACGTAAGTCCACCGGAAACGCGATCAGACGCCCGCTCTTGGCCCACGGTTTCCGGAAACTAGTACCTCAGAGGTACTAGTTTTTTACTCCGCATCTTCGGCGGGAAGCCTCGGGTTAGCCATGGGAGCTCTACGCTTCCCAGATGTTGCTGTGTGATTGCGCCCAGAAAATCCGCCTACCATCCGTATCGTCAGCGTGGCAAATGCTCCGTGTGACCGCAGCCAAAATTAGAAAAGCTTTCCAACTGAAAGATTTCTCCACCAGTATAGTTCTTATAGGGGCAAAGCCTAGCAAAACCAAGAGAAGAAGTCCAGGAAAACAGCATTCTGATATCTGTAAAGGTAAAGGTTCCCTTGCTCGAAAGCCAGTCGAATCCGACTCTAGGGTTGCGGTGCTCATCTCCGTTTCAAAGCCGAAGAGCCAGCGCTGTCCGAAGACGTTTCCGTGGTCATGTGGCCGGCATGACTAAACACCAAGGCGCACGGAACGCTGTTACCTTCCCACCGAAGTGGTACCTATTTATCTACTTGCAATTTCTTGCTTTCGAACTGCTGGGTTGGCAGGAGCTGGAACTAGAGATGGGAACTCACTCCATCATGCGGCACCTGGGTCTCGAACTGCTGAACTACTGACCTTCCACAGCCTGCAGTTCAGCGTCTTAACCACTGTAACTGAGCACAAATGTAGGAACTCATCAGCAGAAACAAACTTGCTCTGTTACTTTAGACTTGACACCTCATGCTGCTTAATTGTTTTCCAATGCTTGTGTTTCAGTAGTCAGTCTAGTAAATTTTGTATCTCATACACTAACACTGTCTCTTTACTTTTGGCAGGGCTCTAATGCTTCAGGCATGTTAAATGGTTATCCTCTCTGGGAGAATGTCACTATAACCAAGCCAGCGAATGGTTGGGCAGCTATTGGGACAAAACATTTTGAGTTCACACAATTTGATAACGTTCATATTCAAGCCAGCTGAGGCTTTTGACAAGCACTTTCAAAGAAGCAAAAACCTGACTCACCTTAGTGCTTTGAAAATAATTTTTTGTAAATGATGTTGATGGGAACTTTTATGAATGAATTTGACTCTGCAGATTAGAAGAATTAGAGAAGACTGGAATCTGCTGATAGCCTTTTAAATTGTTGGAATTCAAATATCATAGCAGGACTTTTTAAAGCAACAGTGAGATTTCACAAAGGGAATATTTTCCATACTTGCATAGCTCTGAAGTCCATTCCTTTTACTCTAGCACTCCACTCAGTCAGATAATATGCCTTCTGTAAAGGGATCTGTTTACCTTTTTGGTGGTCCTCCTGAGATAAAGGTTTCCCAGTGGATTTAAATACCTTCTCCCGGGAAACAAGATCTCACTCTTAGCCTTTTACATTCTTAAATAAATTTATCTATTTTTAACTGCAAATAAACCAGCTGCTAGCTGGTTGGATTTCAAGAAATCCTTTGTTTTAAACTACCTCTTATTCTATAATAGCAGCAAAACAAGTACATTGAAAGAGCCTTATTTTATGTTGGATAACTGCACTGTTTGTATTGGTCTTAGCATTTCCTATGTTTGTTTAAATGAAATACACTTCTGCTAGAGTTTAAGGGATATTTGACATGTGAAAAAGCTGCCAGATCTACAGGCAGGCTAGACTTTTGTGAGCCTGGACCACTTCTTCCATGTGGGTGGAGTGTATGTGAGTGCCTCAGTTTCTGTGGTTGTGGTACTCCAAAGTGACCAAATATACATTGCCCACATGGTACTACTGGTGCCTCCTTGCATTTGCTGGTTGTCTCCAACTCAGCATAGCCTTTTTGGTAGTCAAAGGGGGACCCCCTTCCTTTTTTTAAAGCACTGGATACAACTCATTTTGAAGTGTTGGCTTATCTGTGAATTTGGATGTTGGCCATTGTTGTGGTTAAGCAGAGAAGAGAAAAACTATTTATTTTGCTTCTTAACCAGGAGTTGTGCCTTATACACTGAAGCCAATGTTTTAAGATTTAAATAATGGGAAATAACTCTTGAAGGATTTCAATCAATGTTTCAAGCACTTTTGCAAATTTGATTAATATGAATATTTCCATAATCAGACCAAATTTTTAAAAAATAGATTGGGTTGAAAGTTCTGATGGTCTATCCCAAGTTCCGCTCCCACCAGCAGTTGTGTTTTTTTTTTTTTTAAATGATCCTGGGAAAGTTGACTGTTGATGGAAGAGTTTCATCCTTTTCGCCCTCCAAAGTGCAGCCGGCTAACCCACATGCAATTCCTGCAACTCAGAGCATCAACTTTCCTGAATTTGGAAGGGAGTGTTGGGTGGAGAGTAATGCAAGAAAGATCTGTAGTCCTGGGACCAACAAATCACTGGATCTCAACTCACTGATCTCAACTCATCATTACATCATTACATCATCTCCTGGCATCTTTTGGTGATGACTGACATTAAAGAAAGGACCCAATTAATGTATCCCAAAGAGTTTATTATTTATTTTTTGCACTTGCTTAACACATGGCTGTATTTTTACACTATTTTGTTAAATGTTGCATCATCAAGAAGTATAGTTTTGTGTTAATTTATGAAATAGCAAATTGAAAGTTGTCATGTTATGAGGTGTGCTGAACTGGTTAATGTCTGTGTGTTCTGTATATGTTCTTGATGAAAAGGCTTGTGTGTGTGACCAGTGCAAAGTCTAATGTTTCAAAACTGAAGAAATAAATGCTACTAAAACTGAATGTCTGTGTATGTAAATACTGTCTCCTTTGTAAGTTAGTAGAAACGAGCACACTTTGTGGTTTAAGGCCTTAAAAAAGGCCTAGTCACCATGCAGAAGCTATGTATTTTGCAAAAAGACTACCAGAAAACTGCAGTTTCCACAACCTATTTGATCAAAAGGAGGGTTTTACACTGAGGGACCTTCACTACATGTAACAGAATTGGACTGCTCTGTCCAACTCGTTGCCCATGCAATAGATACTGTGATATAGGCAAGGCAACCAGGCCTTTAAAAAAGGAATATAGAATATAGTGATCCTGTAATGTTCACCTCTCAGAATAGCCATTTATTGTGAAAAGAAGTGAATACTCACATAGAATGTCTTGATATCTTTGGGTTTAAATGAAGGCACTGACTATTCATCTTTCATTCGGACAGTATAGCAGAGCAATATGCAAACTGTTTTGTGGGTCTTCCCCCCCCCAAGAAATGAATGATTCAGTATGACTTCATATTGCCCAATAACATATGTAGCAAGATTTTTTAAAAATATTTTTTTATTTTTAAAGAAAACTTCCAAAGATGAGATACAGAAATAAGAAAGAAACAGTACATTAAGTCAGACAATGTCAATGCAGTCCAGTATAGTGCATGCAAAATATATGTAGCAAGATGATACTGCAGTTAATGTTTGGTCTTGTCAGGGCTGGGGGGAGTAAGGATAAATGCTAGGAAACCTTACATAGATTAACTGGAGCAGATGCATCTGTAGTGCTGAAAGTTTGTTATTCTGTGGTATTCAATCTCAGCCATAGAAATTTATTTTTATTTATTTATTTACCTTCAATTTGTATCCTGCCTTGCCGGTGCAAACTGGCTCAAACAAACTAGGAAATACACATTTAAAGGGGGTGTGTGTGTGTGTGAAATAATTGGATCATAAGATTTTATTTATGTAGAAAAAATTAATTCAGTGGTGGGGGAGAATTTTGGAGTGGTGGTTTTGAACCTGGCAGCTGTTCAAGCAGGCAAATTTATCTAGCACAGTTTGCCCCCACAGAGTAAGCACTTCTTAAGCATGATACATTGTGCTATTGTGTTAGCTGAATTGCTTTATTTACAGCAATTGGCAATTTATAAATGGGTTCTTGCCAATGTATACCAAGGTCCTGATCCCACCTTGGGTGACCAGCAAAGGATTCTGAGGCTGTTGTAGTTAAAATAGATGTCTTTTACTAGAAATATATCTCATACAAACAATACTGATGCACTCACACATTCAATCAAGTTCCTAAGATTTAAGGTAGGAAATAAGCACAGTTGCATTAGCAGGTATTGGTGATGATGGGCGATACTTATCTGTCTTGAAGCTTGGTTGTTCCAATGAAGAATGGATGGGAAGAAATGGAAAACAAAGGGAGTCCACATGACCAGAACCAGCCGGAATGCGTGGGTCTCTTGACTGCAGATCAAGAGATCAATAGTAAGAGGCGAGGATTGGGAATAGCAAGGGGGACTCAAGGGAAGTAAAAGCAGACAGGGGTTGTCTTGGGGGAATGCTAGCTAGGAGGAGCTGGGTGACTGGTTCTCTCCTTTTATAGGGGGTCCAAGAGATGGGTGGTAACTGCCAACCTCTTGACCCACCTACCTGTTAGTCCATCCCAAAAACAATCCTATTGGTTGCATGTAGGGAGGGAGGTTACCTTGGAGGGATGGCCAATATTGTAACCTAAAACCTTAATCGAAGGCTTGGCATCTGAACAGGTGTGAAATCCAGGCGTCAGGATGCTTCATTGTAGTGCTGATGAAGTTGGCCAGTTCCTTTGATAACCAAATGTCCATCTGGCAGGAAATTCCAGCTCAGGAACAAAGCAGTTACATGGCGATACGTGACCAGCAAGCAGCTTTGCCATGGTGGCTGTGTCTTCCCAAAGTTGTTGTTTTATTGCTAACAATAATGGAGATTTGTGCTTCTTCACCAGCCTGTACAACTGTGTTGCTGAAACCTTATTTACATGCCGGCCACATGACCACGGAAACATCTTCGGACAGCGCTGGCTCTTCGGCTTTGAAACGGAGATGAGCACCGCAACCCTAGAGTCGGATTCGACTGGCTTTCGAGCAAGGGAACCTTTACCTTTTTATGTGCAGGCACCCTCTATGTGTGTCATCACAACAGGTGACCTAAAGTGTACAATTCTCTGAGCCCATGTGTACGTGCACAGTCCATTGTGTAGCAATAAGAAGTCCATAAAACAAATATCAGGCTTGTTCCCTAACAATTGATGCGGAGACTTGGGGGCTGGGGAGGGCAAAAACACAAATCTGCAGGACAAGAGTAAAAAAACTAAAGAGAATGAAATGATAACATAATTCTCTGATGATTTCATGGAGAGTAAAGTTCCAATCTATGCTGCTGTTGTGGCTGCGAAAAAGAATAGGAGCCAGTGGTATAGTAGTTAAGAGTGCCGGACTAGTATCTGGATGACCCAGGATAAAATGGAGGAGAGGAGAATGATGTAAGCCACTCACACTGAAGAGGAAGGTGACATGTAAGGGGGTGGAAGGAGGGACAGCTCCAGGGGACAGCAGAAGGAAGGAAGGGACGGCTAAACATATAAGGTGGAACAGAGAGAAAGTGCTAGAGTGAGCCTGTCCTGGGAAGGAAGAGGAATGGGGTGCCAGAACCAGTTCTTCCCGTTCTGAGGCCTGCGAGGGAGTCTTCCCGACCCCAGCCAGGTTGGTGGGACGACCAGGGCAAGAGGAGCTTTACTGAGTATATTGCAAACAATGGGTCCCCAATCTTGTTGATCCAGTGGGCCCACAACAGGTAGAACACACCATCACAAAATGGCTGCTGCAGTGCATGACCAACTACAGAATGGCTGCCAGAGTGGCTGGAATCAATCAGATTCCAAGCCAAGTGCCCTCTAGTGATGAAGGTAGCTGTTTCTGAATGGATGTTCGCTATAGACAGATGATGCTTCCTGGGCTCTTCTGAAGCCCTTCCTGCTCCACTGATGGGAATGGGAAGACTGGATTGACTCTTTAGGGATGTGGGCATCAGCAATTACATTAGTGAGCACCATGGTGCTAATGGGAGGCCATGCTGGGACCACTGTTTTAGGCCATAGCCTCATGTTGTAGGTCAGGTCAGGACAGTATCAGACCAGTTGACAATGTGGACCCCTCAAATTTCACATACAGAAATAGCCACACAGAAGGTTATGTCCAAGGTTCCACACAGTACAGGTGGAATGTGTGAGTTAGAAGCTGCATATAGAGCCTTGTGATCCAACCATCAGACTCAATTTTAATAGGTCTGCATTAGGAATAGAAATCAAGAGCACCAAGTATGTATTCCACAGATTCTTTCTGTCCCCTTTGATATCTAGCTTCTGAAGAAGAAGAAGAAGAGATTGGATGTATACCCCGCCCTTCACTACCCAAAGGAGTCTCAGAGCGGCTTACAAACTCCTTTCCTTTCCCCTCCCCACAACAGACACCCTGTGAAGTAGGTGGGGCTGAGAGAGCTCTTTTGAGAACTGCTCTTTTTCAAGAACAGCTCTTATCAGAACTATGGCTTGCCCAAGGTCATCCAGCCAGGTGCAAGTGGGGAATCAAACCCGGTTCTCCCAGATTAGAGTCCACGCACTTAACCACTACACCAAACTGGCTCTCTCTGTGTTGTTAGCCGAATTGCTTTATTTACAGCAATTGGCAATTTATAAATGGGTTCTTGCCAACTATACCAAGGTCCTGTTCCCACCAAGGGTTATCAGAGAAGGATAACGAGGCTGTTGTTGTTAAAATAAGTGTCTGTTACTTAAAGAATAAATCTCATACAAACAATGCTGATGCACTCACACATTCAATCAAGTTCCTTAGAATTACAGTATTAAAATAAGCACAGTTGCATTGGATCAAGGCGCTGTGGCGGCACTGTTGTTGTTAGATCTGTCAGCCGCATTTGATACGGTCGACCATCAGTTGCTGACCCACCACCTCACCGACGTGGGGATTCAGGGGCTCGCCCTTCAATGGCTGGCCTCTTTTCTTCAGGGTCGGGGACAAAGGGTGGCGAGAGGGGATCAGCGGTTCCGGAGGTGGCCCCTCGAATGTGGGGTACCTCAGGGGGCAGTGCTATCCCCGATGTTGTTTAACATCTACATGCGCCCCCTTGCCCAGATTGCCTGGAGTTGCGGGCTTGGGTGTCATCAGTATGCATCAGTATGCAGCTATATCTGATGTTGGGCGGCCGGTCGGATTCCACTCCAGATGACCTTCATTGGGCACTACAGGCCGTGGCTGGTTGGCTCAGACTGAGTTGGCTGAAATTAAACCTGGCAAAGACAGAGGCCTGAGTCGGAGCGGTCTGGGGTTGGGGCTCCCTCTCCCGACCTTCGATGGGGCGCCATTGGTGCCAGCGTTGGAGGTTAGGAGTTTGGGTGTGCTCCTGGACTCCTTATTATCAATGGAGGCCCAGGTAGCAGCCACTGCCAAGTCGGCCTTTTACCATCTTCAGCTGGTGCGGCAGTTGGTCCCCTTCCTCGACCGCGATGACCTGGCCACAGTGATCCATGCGACGGTCACCTCGAGGTTAGACTACTGTAACACTCTCTACATGGGGCTGCCTTTGTTGCAAATCCAGAAGCTGCAACTGGTGCAGAATGCTGCAGCCAGGCTATTGATGGGTCTTCCTAGACGAGATCACATCCAGCCTGTGCTGAAAGCGCTGCACTGGTTGCCAATAGCGTACCGGATTCGCTTCAAAGTGCTGGTTCTTACTTTTAAAGCCCTATATGGCCAGGGACCGGCCTACCTAAGGGATCGCCTTTCCCCACATGTTCCCCCAAGGGCACTACGGTCAGGGAATCAAAATCTCCTGGATGTTCCAGGCCCCAAGACCATCAAACTTGCGATGGCCAGGGCTAGGGCGTTTTCGGTGGCGGCTCCTATCTGGTGGAATGAGCTCCCAGAGGAGATCCGGACCCTGCAGG